CAAGACACGAGGAACGAGATACGAGGCACGAGCCCGGGGATCCTCCGTAGCATACTATTTTCCAGTCATGAGAAATGAGACACGAGACACGACACACGAGGCAAGAGACACGAGGCACAAGGCACGAGATACGAAGCACGAGACACGAGGCACGAGTTACGAGGCACGAGATACGAGACACGAGCCCGGGGATCCTCCGTACCATACTATTTTCCAGTCACGAAAAATGAGACAAGAGACACGAGGCACGGGACATGAGACACGTGATACGATACATGAGCACGGGGATCCTCCGTACCCTACAACCTTCCAGACACGAGGCCCGAGGCACGAGATATGAGGGACGAGCCCTGGGATCCTCCGTACCGTACAATTTTCCAGTCACGAGACCCGCGACACTAGACACGGGGGTCGAGACACGCCACACGAGGCCCGAGATCCTTCGTAACATCCAATTTTCCAGTCACGAGACACGAGGCACCAGATACGAGACACGACATACTTAACACGTGCCCGGCGATCTTCCGTACTATACAATTTTCCAGTCACGAGACACGACACACGAGGCACGGGGAACGAGGTAGGAGACACGAGGCCCGAGGCACGCGATACGAGATACGAGCACGGGGATCCTCCGTACCATACTATTTTCCAGTCACGAGAACCTAGGCATGAGATATGAGACACGCGGCACGAGTCACGATGCACGAGATACGAGACACGAGTATCGGAATCCTCCGTACCATACCAATTTCCAGGAAGGAGACACGACACACGAGGCAAGAGACACGAGACACGAGGCACGGGACACGAGGCACGAGGCACGAGGCACGAGGCACGATTCACGAGGCACGAGATACGAGACACGAGCCCGGATATCCTTCGTACCGTACTATTTTCCAGGCACGAAAAATGATACATGAGACACGAGGCACGAGACACAAGGCACGAGGCACGAGGGACGAGCTACGAGACACGAGCCGGCTGATCCTCCGTACCATACAATTTTCCAGTCACGAGACACAAGGCACGAGACACGAGGCACGAGATACGAGGAACGAGCGCGGGGGTCCTCCGTACCATACTATTTGCCAATCACGAGACACGCTACACGGGACACGAGGTACGAGACACGAGTCACGAGGCACGAGATACGAGATACGATCCCGGGGATCCTTCGTACCATACTATTTTCCAGTCACGAGACACGAGACACGAGGCACGAGACACGAGGCACGAGATCCAAGGCACGACCCCCAGATCCTCCGTACCATACTATTTCCCAGTCACGAAAAATAAGACATGAGACACGAGGCACGAGACACAAGGCACGAGGGACGAGACACGAGGCACGAGGCACGAGGCACGAGATACGAGACACGAGCCGGCTGATCCTCCGTACCATACTATTTTCCAGTCACGATTCACGAGACACGAGGCACGATACACGAGATACCAGGCACGAGATAAGAGGCACGAGCCCGGGAATCCTCCGTACCATACTATTTTCCAGTCACGGGGAACGAGACACGAGACATGAGGCACGATACACGAGACACAAAGCACGAGATAAGAGGCACGAGCCCGGGGGTCCTCCGTACCATACTATTTTCCAGTCATGAGGAACGAGACACGAGACACGAGGCACGAGACACGAGGCACGTGGTACGAGGCACTAGCCCTGTGATCCTCCGTACCTTACTATTTTCCAGTCACGAGAAACGAGACACGACACACAGAACACGAGGCACGAGACACGTGACACGAGGCACGAGACACAAGACGCGAGGCACGAGACACGAGACACGAGCCACCTTTTGGGGGTGCGAATATCCACAGCGGTTGATAATGGTGCCAGCTTCGAGTCCAAATTCTTTCATCGCCTTTGATATCAATTTACACGGAATTACGACTCAAATTTGCTCCCAACTTTTTATTTAATCGACGGATTTCTCATTTTATTTTTATATAATTTTTTTGGCGCGAACCACAAACGAATTATTATTTCGAAATTTACTTAGCGCCTCTCGAATATTCTATGCCGTCATATTCGCGACGGGCGTCATTCTGTTCTTGTCCCTCACGATATTTGTGGATGTTTCTCAAGCCTTCCATATGAGGAAGTATTTAACCTCGCACGCTCCCCGACGAAGGCTCAGTCAGTCAGTCATCTCAGTTGAATTCATTCCCATTTATATATTCGATGTAAACACACCTGTCTGCGATAAATACAACGCCTTTATATTCCACAACTACGAGTTATTATTGTGTCTCTATACACCTAACCGCAACCACTGGTGATCCCGACGTGATCTGAGTGAATAGTTTCCGCATTTTCGTTAATTTTAATATTATATCGCGTCAACGTTGCGACTGTTTCGCAAAATTTCGAGTGCATTTTGGTCGTGCACTTTGTGAGTGGTTTTGTGTGCCGCACAGGCTCGTGTGTTAAATCGTTCACGCGCCCCGTTCCAGTTTTTGTGAATTTCGGTGCATTGCTGAGTACCCAAAAACGTTATGCTGCAACGAAAATAATTTGTGAACTTTTACGACCGATTTTACCGGAAATCTCGTACCGCTTCGACTGATAATGACATGAAGCAACAATTTCATCGGAGGGAACATGACATCCATACCTCACGGCCTCGACTAGAGAATAGGCTTCTATTCTAGAGCAACAAGACGTTTTGCGCTCTCGTCCCAAAGCTTGCAGGATATCGCCAACATCTAACATCAAGTGTTTATTGACTCAACAACTGTATTAACGACCTCACCTAAATTGCTGGGTTCATCAAATGTACGCATGGAGACCTCGTCATGCAGGCAACCACGCTGACCTTCAGGATCTTCAATTATTCCGACTGTTTTAGGCTACTTGACAACAGATTTTTACGGGATCGACTTCGTTTCGCTCGTTCCATGATCTACTACACCGCATCGCTTACCATCACTAGCTCCATTACAGACTATAAGGTTCGCATCTTCGCTCGTTCTCGCTTTCGTCTCGACACGCATTGATAACGGCACCCGGCAACGGCCCATCATCGTTTTCGACATCGACACGACTCCGACCAGACTCCAACAGCTTCATCTTCGACGGCCAGCCTCGTCACTTGGTCCAGCGCTTCCGAGATGCTCACGCCTCCGAGATGACGTCCAGTTGATCATCATTTCTACGGCATCGTTTTATCTTCTTTGTGTTATCGCCAAACAATTTTAGCCTTTCTCGACAATCAATAGTATTTCTATTAAATAGTATTTCTAATAATATTTCTCTTCTTCTCGTTTTGATTTGTTTGTTTCCGTTTTCTTTTCCGCAGAAGGGGAGTACTTGTGACGCGAGCCACAAACGTATTATTATTTCGAAATTTAGTTAACGCGTGTCGAATATTCTATACCGTCATATTCGAGATGGGCATCATTCTGTTCTTGTCCCTCACGAGATTTCGGGACGGTTCTCGAACCTTCTATAACGCAAGGTATTTAAACCCGCACGCTCCCCGACGAAGGCTCAGTCAGTCATCTCAGTTGAATTCAGTCCGGTTTATATATTCGATGTAAGCCCATCTCTCTGCGATAAATAAAACGCATTTATATTCCACAACCACGAGTTATTATTGTGTCTCTATACACCTAACCGCCACATTTTTATTATAATTTTCCCGACTATTTTTGAAGGAAATATTTTCATGTATTTCCAACAGGTACCAAGTTAAACGCGATTTTCTATTTCTACCCCTCGAGGTAGGCTCTATCGGAGAACCCCTGGTGCGAGAGAGAACTATCCGCCAACATCGGCGCCGCTCGCACTCATACCAGCCTCTCTCCGACTGAATGCGCTTGCGCGTGACCTCATTGACGGAGTACAAGAGAGTGGAAACATGAATACGAAGGCTTTTCGAAATTATCTCTGGCTCCGTAGTTTATGTTCTGTACCTGATCCTGTATCAATTTTGGAGTTCGTTGATTCTGATGCATGGAATTCATGTTTTTTGGGTCATTGATTACGACTTTGCCGTTTTGTTTTCCAAAAATCGACCATTCTATTTGTTTTCAACAATTTAATTATTTAAAAGAAAATAGCGCGAAAACAGTTAGACAAAACAAGTTTCAAACAAAAAACTTTTTTTGTTATTGTTTGATGAGATGCCTGGATCGGGGAATAAATTGTGCGGATGGATGAGTTGGAGTCGGATTACGGGGAGTGGGATGAGTAGAACCAAGAAATGAGCGGAACACGTGCACGTGGTCACAAATTCACTGTATTTGTCAAAGTGATAGTGATTTACACTGTCACAATAAATAGAGTCACTGAGCAGACCGTAAATAATGAGCCGGCTAATTCCTTGAATTAATAATAACTGAGCTGACACAATGAGTTAGTCCGAGTCACTAGAGATGAGCAGTACAATAAAAGAAGTGTCTCTAACTGGATCCCGGAAACGAATGAGAGAGAGACACGGGCTTACAGGTGCCACGTGCCCTAATTCGATGGTCACATGACCTAATTTAATATAGATCATATGGTAATAAGGAGCTGTCCAGGACGTGGCGCCTCAGGTGTCCGAATTAACAACCCCCGGTCATCTGAGGTGAGCGCGTCAGGTGTGCGTGAGTGGGGAAAGAATGGATGAGCCTTGTGTGCATTAGTGTGAGGGACCTGTCAGCTGACAGGATTTCCAACATTCTCCCCGGCCGTCGGCAACTGTAAAGTTGTTGACGCAACCATAATGAGTAGAGCCATGGTGAGCTGAAACAAAAAACAAAATTCAAAACGCTCTTTGGTGAGCTGTCGGAGCTTGTCACCCATGAGTGAGTCCGTGAGACCGTCCGGAAGGTGCGCTGGCTAGGCATGGCAGCATCCTAGACGTCGGGGGTCGTAAATCCCTTCTGCGTTGGCTGCTGTCATTCTCACGTTGAACCCCGTCGGTTGGTCAGGGTCGTAAATCCGTCGAAGTTGACGAAGTCCAACGGTGAGAAGCCGGTGAGCTGTCCTGGTTCTATTCCCCTGAAGGTGAGATGGGCAAGAGGACGAGCTTGGCGATTGGCCTTGTCAGCGTCGTCTGAGCAGTCCTGATGGTGACTACCCTGGTGAGTCCGTCCGATCCTGGGTGCAGAGCGGTCACTCGGGCGAGAGGCCACTTCGCTGGCGGGAATCTCTCGTCCGTGAGTAGAACCAGTGAGCCGATCCGTATCTGATGAGTCGGATGGTGCCACTTGGATATCGCTTGAAGACGTTGGAGATATCCCGTGGACCACCTCTTCCAGAATCCTTGAAGCTTCTGCTGAATGAGCTGCCATCTAGAGAGCCTTGAGACGTTGAGTTGCTCTAAAGATGGCTCTGGAAGAGTCGTGGGAGCCTGACCGATGAGAAAATGCCCTGGTGTCAAGGCTGAACAGTCATCAGGATCATCCGTGAGCGGTTCCAGTGGTCGTGAGTTGAGCACTGCCTCGATTTGAGCGAGCAAAGTGGTGAGTTCCTCAAAAGTGAGCAGATCCTCTCCGATCGTCCGGGTGAGATGGAACTTCACCGACTTCACCGCCGCTTCCCATTTCCCTCCAAAGTGCGGAGCACCTGGAGGATTGAAGGACCACTGAGTCCCATCATTGATGAGGAGCTGTGCGAGCTGTCTTGATTGAGCTGATCCTGACGAGAAGAGCTTCTTTAGTTCCTTGTCAGCGCCAAGGAAATTGGTCCCACAGTCACTGAACAAGGAATGAGCGATCCCACGCCGACTTGAAAAGCGTCTATACGCCGCGATGAACCCCTCGGCTGAGTAGTCTGACACGACCTCGAGATGGACCGCTGAGGTGGTCATGCAGACAAAGATAGCCAACCAGCCTTTGTACGACTTGTGTCCCCGCCCTTTCCAGGACCGTAGAGACACTGGGCCGGCATAGTCGATCCCAGTGTTGAGAAAGGCTCGAGCGGGAGTGAGTCTGGCTGGTGGCAACTGGCCCATGAGCTGTTGAGCGCGTACTCCACGTTGGCGAGTGCAGTTAACGCACTTGAGGATGAAGGAGCGTACTGGTGCTCGACCTCCGAGTATCCAGTAGCTACTTCTGAGCTGCCTGAGGGTGAGCTGTGTGCCTCCGTGGAGTGTCCTTAGATGAGCCTGTCCGATGAGTAGCTGAGCCAGTTGAGATTCCTTCGGAATAATCACTTGGTTCCGGCTCTCCGGGCCTATGTGAGCAAACTTGAGCCGTCCTCCTATCCTCAATACCCCTTGGCGATCGATGAAGGGTGTGAGCTTGGTGAGGGGGTGGGATTTGCTGAACCTTTCCCCTCGTGAGATCGCTCTGAGTTGATCCTTGAAGTGAGCTGCCTGCGTGAGTTTGATCCAGAGGATGCGAGCCTCTTCAAGATCACCAAGAGTGAGCGGGTATCGAAGAGAAGAGTTGGGGGTTTTCCTGAGCCGAGCTATGAATCGTCGACAGATTGCTGTGACCCTGAGCAGTCGGTTGAACGATGAGAATCTGTCGACGAGATTCCAGAGCGCGATTGGATGAGCTTTTACATGTAGGAGAACTCCTGGCTTTTCCTCGAGGTCTGCGCTGAGGTCTTTTTCCAGAGCGTGAGTTGGCCATGATGAGCAGTCTTGATGAAGCCATGGTGGCCCTTTCCACCAGAGCTTATGAGATACCAGTTGGTGCGCTGATAGACCTCGAGATGCACAGTCTGCAGGATTCTCCTTGCCCGGTACCAATCTCCAATGAGCCTGCTGAGTGAGCTCCTGGATGAGTGCCACCCGATTTTTCACGAACTCCTTCCATCTTGAGGAGTGTGAGCTGATCCACGTGAGCGTGACCGATGAGTCGGTCCAGAGATAGGTGGTGGCGTTCGTGAGATTGAGTTGGTCCTTGACGTACTTAGTCAGTTTGGCCAGGAGGAGAGCCGCAGTGAGTTCTAGTCGTGGGATTGTCAGCCGTTTGAGCGGTGCGACCTTCGTTTTTGAGCAAACCAATGTGAGTTGTGATTTTCCCTTGTTGAGAACCTTGAGATAGATCACGGCTGACATCGCCACTTGTGATGCGTCGGAAAAACCGTGTACTTCGACGACGGAATCCGTGAGCAGTCCAAGCCACCGAGGTATGGTGATCTCTGATAACTGTGTGAGCTCCTCCCTGAATTGGCTCCATCGTTGAGCAGTTGTCTGGGAAACTGGTTCGTCCCATCCCAGTTTCTCGATCCATAGAGCCTGGAGCAATATCTTCGCTCGTATGACCACTGGCGCTAGGAAACCCAGTGGATCGAAGAGTTGAGCCGTTTCCGATAAAATGATTCTCTTCGTTATTGAGCTGGTCTCAGGCTGAGTGACGGAGAACTTGAAGTTGTCCGTTCCAGGATGCCAAGAAACCCCTAGAATCTTGGTGAGTGAGTCCTCTATGAATCGTTGTTCTTGAGAGGTGCTGTCAGGTTGAAGAGATGTGAGTAGAGCTGGGCTATTTGAGTGCCATTTGGCTAGCGGAAAGCCTCCTGACCGACAGAGCTGTGTCACCTGATGAGCGGTCCTGAGTAGCTCTTCATCTGAGTCAGCACCCCCGCAGATATCGTCAACATATCGTCCTTTCATGAGCGGTTCCACAGCGAGAGGATAGTTCGATCCTTCATCCTCAACGAGCTGATGAAGAACACGCATTGAGAGGAACGGAGCTGACCTAGTGCCATATGTGACCGTGGTGAGTTGATAGGTGGCGATATCTCCGTTTGAGTCGGTCCAGAGTATTTGTTGGAGTGGCCAATCTTCCGGATGTACCCGAATTTGACGAAACATCTTGGTTATGTCCGTCATGAAAATGAGCCGTTTCCGCCGAGAAAAGAGAAGTACATCCGAGATATCCTTCTGCAACTTCTCACCCGTGTGCATAATCTCGTTCAACGATTGTCCTGAGCTGGTCTTGTTGGAGCCGTTGAAAACAACTCTGAGCTTCGTTGTCTCACTGCTCGCCCTGAGAACTCCGTGATGAGGGAAGAAATATTCCGGAGGAGCGTCAGCCCGAGAAGAACACGGACGGCCCGAAACCCTCAACCCTCCTGAAGCCGAGGCCTCATGTGCTAAGGTCATTTCGGTGCCCGTGCCCCCCCCCCCATTGAGCTGGCGCTGATGAGCTGATCTAGCGAGCTGTCCGGAGACTCGACGCATGTGGCCGAGCTCTTCATATTCCCTGAGGAAGTCCGTGTAGAGCTGACGATAAACCTCATCACGTGAGAGTTTCCTGAGCAGACGATGGAGGCAAGCGAGTGCAGACGATCGTGAATCTCCTAGCGAGGAAACTGGAGATTTGAGCGGTATCCGAACAATGTAGCGGCCAGATGCATCTCGTGAGTGGGTCCGTTGAAAGTGTTCCTCACACTGCGCTTCCTCCTCGTTGAGCTGAACCTCTGGTGTCCCAGGGATCTCTTCCTGGATCCAGAATTTGGTGAGCAGTTCGTTGAGATCCTCGTTGGTGACCGTTAGATGAGAAGTTGCTACTTGAGTAGTATCAGGACCTTCCGTTGGTCCGAATACGATCCATCCAAGTCGCGTGAGCTGAGCCGATGGTGAGTTTGGTCCATTGGTGATGACTTGTGGTAAGATGAGTTGTCCATAGACATCAGCGCCAAGAAGGATGTCAATTGGTGCTGGTGTGAGAAAATCGGGATCAGCGAGCTGGAGTCCTTCCAGATGATCCCATGTGAGCTGACTTGGTGAGAATGTCGGTAATGAGGTTGTGAGCTGGCCGAGAGCATAGGCAGAAACTCTGAGCTGAAAGTGAGAGCAAGTGGACTGTATTGTGAGCCGAACCTTGCCTAATGCCGGCCCAGATGCCGTGTCTCCAATCCCCGATATTCGTAGCTGTGTCTTGAGCCTTAACAGCCCAAGCTGACGAACGAGCTGGTCTGAGATGACGGAGATTTCCGACCCTGGATCGATGAGTAGACGAACCTGATGAGCTGGCTGATCTGGGCGTACCAAAAGCGCAAGGCTGGTAGCCAGAAGGACCCCAGGGCGGAAGTCTTGAGCGGATCCGGAATCTGAATGGTGACCTGAGCAGGAGACGGCAATCTGAGCTGGTGATCTTCATTCCGACGACGTTGACTGGCCTTGGTCACCAGTCACCACCATGGGGATGTCGTTTTCGTGGGTGTAGGTCACCACCGGAACGGCCTTTTGCTGGGTTGAGTTGGTCTGTTGCCTCTGCTGAGCTGGACGTTGAGGCTGACTCGATGGCTGGTTGTGGAGCATCGAGTGGTGGAGGCCCCCGCAATACTGGCACTTGGTCTTGGACCTGCAGTCCCTCACCGAGTGCCGACCAAGGCAATTGTAGCAGAGGTAGCGACGCTCTACTACCTCCCTACGAGCTGATACCGAAAGTTGACGGAAGGATGAGCAGGATGTGAGGTAATGGTCTGCCTCACACATCGAGCACGGGTACGTGACCTTCCCCGATGGAGCGGACTTGGGAGCTGGCCTCGATTTTTGTGGTGGTTGAGCGGTGCCGTGGTGAACCTTCGCAGCGGTCGACTGCTTGGATGAGCTGACATTGGAGGGCTTTGTGGCAGGAGCACGAGGAACCGAGTTAATCTCGATGCTCTCCATCGCGCGAGCTCTCCCAGTGAGGAAATCCTTGAAGTCCTTGTATGAAGGATACTCCGCCGATGAACCGACCTTGACCTCCCAGGCTTCACGAAGCTTTGAGCTGAGCCGTTGCGAGACCGTATGTACGATCACCTGGTCCCACTGGGAGGTTGGGGAGCCGAGAGCCTCCAGAGCGTTCAGTGCCTCAGAGGTGACAGTGAGCAGGGCATTGAGCTCTTTGGCACTGTGAGAAGTCATGGTTGGGGGACTGAGGAGGTGTTCCAAATGAGCTGAAATGAGCAGTCGCTTATTCTCGTAGCGAGACAAGAGCAGTTCCCATGCAATCGAGAATGACTCATCCGAGATCGTAAGATTCGCGATGCGTTGAGCTGGCTCCCCTGAGAGACTAGTACGAAGATAATGCATCTTCTCCACGTTGGATAGATCCGTATTCGAGCCGACCAGAGACGCGAAAAGATCGCGGAACGAGCGCCAGTCCGCATAGGCCCCTCCGAACTTGGGCAGAGAAATCTCAGGGAGATAACGCTTGGAGTATGTGGGCTGAGCCGTCCCAGACGCGAGAGACCGACGAGATGAACCTGAGATCCCCCTTTTATCAATGAGCTGGCTTAAAATACCCCTTGCCTCATGATAATGCCCGATAGTAATGTCGAACCGATGGTCCTTGAAGTACGGCAATTCAAGGATCCCTTCGATCTTGCCGCTGCCAGCGATGAGCTTCTCATGAGTGCTCTCGAACTTTTCCCAGTAGGTCTCCAGGATCTCGAGTTTACCCTGGAGATTGGAGATTGTGAGGCTTTTCGCCTCTTCTGTGAGCAGCTCCTTGTAAACGCGTTCGATGAACGCTGCCCGAGAGTTATTCAGGCTAATGGTCGCCTCAAATGATGCCATAATTGAAAATAAGTGCGCAGCTCAAAAAAAGGAATGAACCGGAAAAACCTAAGTAAGGCGACCCCAAAAGCCAAGCAGTGAGCAGTGAGAAGCGATAAAATTAAGTATCCGGTCGGTTGAGCGGCAACAGTAATAACACCGAAGAGTCTTAATTTAGTAGGTAGCAGCAGTGAGCGATTCCGTTGAGCAGGCGCGAGAATTTATTGAAAAATTCAAAAAAAACGAAAAAGGGTTGGAGAATATAAAGGGAGCGGTAGCCAAAAAAAACAAAGTTGAATGCTCCAAAAAATTCAAAAAAAAGGAAAAAATGGCAAAAGTAGCAAGAGGTAATTAAATGCTACTTAGCCGAGTGAGTGATGTTGAGCTGGACCAGTGCAGGAACGCTGCAGTTGAGAAAAAAGTCCAAAGTCCCGGGGATGAGCTGCTCCAAAATTCAAATATTCCCGCGGGCCGGTAATGCAGTTCCCTGATGATTGGAGAGCTGGACTGGTTGAGGTCCACTGCGTACGCTGAGCCAACGAGCTGGTCCCCGTAGGTTGAGCACCACTGACCGCGGCACTTCCACTCCCGCCAAAACCCAACAAAAAAAACCGAAAACCGAAAAATATTCCACCGATCCGGCTCGAAGGACCTAACTGTTTGATGAGATGCCTGGATCGGTGGTAATTAGGAGCGGATGGGCAAGTAATGAGTGGATTTGCCGGAGTAGATGAGCGGTTTCAGAAATGAGCGGACACGTGCACTTGATTTCACAAAACACCGTATAATTGTTCAATATTTATAGTTATTTACACTGTCACAATAAATAGAGTCACTGAGCAGACCGTAAATAATGAGCCGACTAATTCCTTGAATTAATAATAATTGAGCTGACACAATGAGTTAATCCGAGTCACTAGAGATGAGTAGTACAATAAAAGAAGTGTCTCTAACTGGATCCCGGAAACGAATGAGAGAGAGACACGGGCTTACAGGTGCCACGTGCCCTAATTCGATGGTCACATGACCTAATTTAATATAGATCATATGGTAATAAGGAGCTGTCCAGGACGTGGCGCCTCAGGTGTCCGAATTAACAACCCCCGGTCATCTGAGGTGAGCGCGTCAGGTGTGCGTGAGTGGGGAGAGAATGGATGAGCCTTGCGTGCGTTAGTGTGAGGGACCTGTCAGCTGACAGGATTTCCAACAGTTATTATAATCAGGGATTTGTTGGGATAGCCGGATAGCTCAGTTGGGAGAGCACCCGATGCATAATCAGAAGGTCCCGGGTTCAAATCCCGGTCTGGACTATCCATTTTCCAGACGGAAAAATGGACGGGTTTTGGACTTTCGTTCCAAGGTTTCGTTACAGGCGGTAACGCTACTAGCTGTTCGTTCCAAGGTTTCGTTCCCGGCGGTAACGTTACCGGACTTTCGTTCTAAGGTTTCGTTCCAAGCCGTAACGTTACCGGACTTTCGTTCCAGGGTTTCGTTCCTGGCGGTAACGTTACCAGACTTTCGTTCCCAGTTTAGTTCCATTTCCCTTAACGTTTCTGGGAACGAAACGCAACAACCGCAGTTTCGTTTCGTTCCAGAGTTTCGTTCCAAGTCCCTGGTAAGGACATTGAAAATTGAAAATTATATGTTGAAAAATTATTTCGATCTGTGTTAAGCTGTGAAGAAAATTGTACATCACACTTTTGTAACTTATCCTTTTAAACGTTTGTTTGCTAAAGAACTTATTAATTTCAAGGCTCACATTATATCACCACTTGTAACCGAAAGAATGAAAGAGTCTCGTATTTCCGAAGCTTCAAAATTACATTCAAAAGATTATTATTACAATTGAAAAAATGTAACTCGAATGAAAAATGAATAAATTTTTTATACTTATTTTGATATCTTTTTTGTTTTTTTGAACCCTTTCCCCCACTCCTAATACTAAGGAAAAGCTGAAAAATCATCGCATATGAGGAGGGCGCATCATTCATTCTTAAACAATTCAGTGGGTAACATGGAGCTCGCTATTGCGGTTGTTGGTTTTCGCGGCGGAGATTGGAAATTTCTGCCCAAAGAAGTTGGAATTACAAGTATCGCTGGTAACATTTCGGGGCATTGGGTCTTCGCACCACCGTACGTTTTCGCCGATTTACCTGAAGCTGTTCAGGTAGGAAATAACCATCGGACGCATCTTCTGCATGGAATAGAATGGTTTGAAGGCGAGGAATCAGCAGAAAAAATTTATCAACAATTATTAACAATTGTGAAAAATGCACATGCTGTTTATATTATCGATGAAGCAGCCCGATTATTTTTGAAAAAATTGTTGTGCAGAGAAGTCAATAATATGGAGGAGCACCGTAAATGGGATTTATTCATTATCCTACAGAAACAAACAAAACCTAACAAATATCCTACAGAAACAGCGTGCATATTATATGGACTAGGAAGTGAAGAACGTATTTGCCCAATTCCTAAAGCCAGGCAAATAAAAAATGGCTTCTCCCTGCACCACCACCATCTGATGAATATAAGGAAATGGAATTGTGAAATCCATGCGTCCAGATAATCTTTTTTATCTTGAATAAATTATTTTTTCATCATAAATTAATCTAATCATTTCAATCCCCCCACCCAATTTCCACCTCCCTCTATTAACAGACCCAGCAGCAACCACCCACCTTACCACACACCATCTATCAACCAGGGACCTAGCACCAGTCACACATTAGCGACCCACCCTACTACCCACGACCCATCAACCAGGCAACCAGTACCAACTACCCACCAGCCACTCACCACCTATCAACAAATCACCCACCATTCATCAACCAGGCATCCAGCACCAATCACCCACCATCCACCCACCTTCCAGCTTCCGACCCTATAAGCACCAGCGGTGCACGTGGGACGTTCCTTCTCCGCCGCTTCCCGACAACCGGTCCCGACAGATACTCTCTCGCATTGCCGCCTGGGGGGCAAGTGGGGAGGGACTGTCTCACCAGTCTGTGTACCCTCTAATTCTTCAGGAATTTCTGGAAGTATTACCCTTAGAACCAAACCCCCTGGTGCAGAATGAGCCATTTACATCTCAACGATGCTATTTCTGGGGGCCTTTCAGATCGGGCCAATCTACAACATCCGGTCTCCAATTGAATCTCTCACTATCCAAATAATCAATCGTAAGTAAACGATCCTCATCATCATTTCTACCAACAATAATTGTAATTGAATACTGTTCGGTTATTAACCGAATTAGACGCATGTACTCACACACACACTAGCTTCGCTCGCATGCCTATTTGGCTTTGCACACAGCTGATCTGCTCTCTCACCTTAAATGACCAGTGGCCTCTCACACTTGACTCCTGAGGCGCCACTTGATGGACGGGTGTCGTGTGAGCGCCCCCATTTTTAAGGGGTCACGTTCACAGCTCTGAATGTTTGTCACCTGCTACCTCGTGGCCTTTCAATCACCCTCATTAGCTCTTCGGCCATCATACTGCGTGCATTGCTTTCTGCGAATATATTGTTGTTTTCGAGTTCCGCGTATTATTTGCCCTGCGTTGTTTAATCTCTTTGAACTACGACTAATTAACTCATTGTGTCTCGCGCTAATCTCTTGATCACCTCGATTAATCCAACAAGTGTAAATATTCACTAATTTGAAAATTAAAAGTGACGCTATTGATCAACGCCACCTGTAGTGATTTCTGGACCTGTGCATGCTCCCGTAAAATCCGTTTTTATCTCGCCCATCGCTTCCTTATTCCACTCAAACCAGATCCGGCATCGAACTAATACCTTGATTTTTTTGGGACTAATTTTTTTGGAATAACACCTATACTTTTATTACTATTCCATAGGAATGTGTCATAACTAAACACATCTGCCGACTCATCCAAAATAATCTTGACTCTCTACATTTGTGTTACGTTTACTACGGGCCAGTCAGTTTCATTCCAACTGTAGCAGGAGCCTTAGTTTGTTAGCAGTAATGAGTGATTTGACAATTCAAGAAAAAAGATATCTCATCGAGTGCTTCTATTCGAGAGGGAAAAAATACTGTGAAGCTTTTAGGGGGTTTCGTACTAAATTTGGATCCGAATGAGTTGCTAGCGAAACTACTTTGAGTAGGTTAGAATAAATTTTTTTTCATATTGATTGTGTGACAACAAAACACATTACAGATTTTCGTAGAAATCCCGTTGATTTCTAGTCATGATAATATTCTTTTTCTAGAATAAATGAAAATTTCGAGGAATACGGCACTTTGGATGATTGTAGAGCTACTCTTCCAGGTCCCTCATTCTCTGTTGCAATAGAGGAGAAGGTCGATGAAGTTAAACAATATTGCAAGGCAAATCCCAACTCGTCGATTCAGAGAGTCGCTCAAGATTTAAAATTGACCAAATCAACGTTGCATCGCATCCTCCACGTTTTTTTGAAACTTCATCCATATAAAATATTGATGTGTCAGCGTTCGACAGAGGAAGCGATTCTGAGACGAAAGGAACTTTGTGAAAGAATGACACAAACGTTCGAAAATGGTGAGCTGCATGAAACAGCAATTATTTTTTCTGACGAGGCACACTTTTGGCTAGATAACTACATGAACAAAAATAATTTGAGATTTCTGGGGATCTGAAAAACCTAATTTTTTAGTTACGAAATCTGCTCATCCACAGAAATTCACTGTTTGGGCTGCTCTCTCCATGAAGGGTGTCTATCTACATTTTTTCGAATCTACCGTTACTGGGAATGAGTACAAAAGAATGTTAGAAACAAAATTCTTCCCTCATGCGAGAAAAAGAGGGCTTGTCAATGGGTTTTATTTTATGCAGGATGGAGCAGCTCCCCACCGTACTCACGAAGTTTTTGAAATTATTAATACAGTTTATCGCAGTCGAGTTCTTGGTTTGGGATATCCAAAATTTTGGGGAGGAGGAATAGATTGGCCACCCTCTTCACCAGATTTGAATCCATGTGATTAGTTCCTGTGGCGTTACATAAAAGATTCT